AAAATCCGTAAATTAAAAAGATTTTAAAATCTACTGATAAAGAAAACGAAAATTAAATAGAATTCTAATTCTACTGATGACGACAATCTAAATTAAGAAAAATTCTAATCCTATTGATGACAATACTCCAAATTAATAAGAAATCTAATTCTAATGCTGAATATCTACTTAAAATAAAATTCTTATCTTCTTGTAAACGATAATTGAAATTAAATAGAATTAGAATCCTTATTATGACGGTTATCCAAATCAAATAGAATTCTAATCCTACTGAGGAGGACAATCTACATTAAATAGAATTATAATCCTACTGATCACGTAATCCAAGTTAAATAAAATTTTAATTCTAGTTATGACGTTAATCCAAATTAAATACAATTTTAAGCCTAATGATGACGAGCGTTCAAAATTAAATAGAATCCTACTGATTACGAAATCCAATTCATTCAAGAAGAATTCTAATCCTGCTAATGAGGAAATTTTTGTTAAATAAAATTCATCTTCTACTGATTAACAGAATCTAAATTAAAAAGAATTCTAATCCTACTGATGACGAAATAGAAATAAAATAGAATTATTATCTTATTTTTAAGGAAAATCATCAAATTAAATGGAATATGAAATCTGATAATGGCGAAAATCCAAATTAAACAAAAAGCTAATCGTAATGAGGAATAAAATGCTAATCCTACTGACGACGATAATCTAAATTAAATATAAGTCTAATCCTACTGATGACGAAAATTTAAATGCTTGAGAATTAAAACCCCATTGTTGAGGGAAATCTTTAAATTAAAAAGAATCCAAAATCTACCGATAAAGAAAAAATAAATTAAACAGAATTCTAATTCTACTGATGACGAAATTGAATTCAAGTAGAATTCGAATTCTGTTAATAAGGAAATTGCTTATTTAATACAATTCAACTCCTATTGATGACGACAATTTAAATCAAAAAGAATTCTTATCCTACTGATCACAATCGTAATACAAAATAGAATTCTATTTTCCCATTGAGTTTAAATCTGCAAATTCCACTGATGACGAAAATCCAAATAAATATAAAAAAAAGAAATCAATGCAAAAAAACACTTTCCCATCAGCACAAAATGCTTTGTCTCCTATGATACAAACTTAAATCTAAAAATTACAATTCAAATCCAATTAAAATCCAAATCAGTTTCTGAACTCGTTTAACAAGTAAGTAAAGCAGTCAAGGTAAAATCATCATAACGACGGAAACGAGCCGTGTCTAACTAGTGGGCGTTGACGACGTGTGGTATATGAATTTATATATAACTCTATACACAACAATATCGAGCATGTCATCGTGAGAAAAGAATTGCCGATTGTGTGTCACTTTAATTATCCAATGCCTCCTCTCTTCTAAGTGCTCGATTAGCATTCTCACTTTTATAATATACATATATCTAGGTACTCAAGGGAAATAGATCATATCATTTTTAATACTGGCAAGATGCCATCTATCTCATTCTATCTTTCATGTTTTTACGCAATTTTGATCTACAATGATATTATAAATTTTATAGGTATAATGAAGACACAACAACTCGCGACAACGACGTGTCGCGCTTCTCCACCCATATGTACCGTTACATTATCATTTAAACCAATGAATATTCAAAAGAATTTATAATGACTCTAATGCATTACCTGCGCGATGAAGAATATCTCGCTTTAAAATTACCATAATTCAAATCGAACAAAAAAAGAAAAAGAGGTTAAGTACCAACGAGAAAGGTCAGTCAATGTTGTTTGATTAATAATTGTCCAACATATATATTGAATGCAAAAAAAAGAAATAATTTTTCTATCTAAAAGAAAAAAATTATGCTTTTGTAAAAGTCGTAACTTTGAAGATTGATTATTAGGGTTCTTTTCACGAATTTGGGAAAGAAATTCTAGTATTGGTCCATTCACCCTAGACTCGGTCAATTAGACCTAGAGAGCCGAGACAGAAATTGTTACATCTAGGAGATTAATTTTTAGAGTTTCTTTCACGAATTTGGTTAAGAAACCTAGCGCAATTCCTTTTGGTGCCTCCACCCTAGACTCGGTCTATTGGACCTAGCTCGATTAGGACTCGATTAGAACTAAACAGTCGAAATAAAACAGATACATCTAGAAGAATAGTTTTTAGGGTTCCTTTCACGAATTTGGGAAGAAATTATAGTTTTGGTAAATTTACCCTAGACTCGGTCAACAAGACCTAGAGAGCCGAAACAAAATTTGTTGCATCTAGGTGATTAATATTTAGGGTTTCTTTCACGAATTTGGTTAAGAAACCTAGCGCAATTACTTTCGGTACCTCCACCCTAGACTCGGTCTATTGGACCTAGCCTTAGAAAACTCGATTAGGACTAAACAGTCGAAATAAAACTGATACATCTAGGAGGTAAATTTTTAGGGTTCCTTTTACGAATTTGGGAAGAAATTCTAGTTTTGGTACATTTACCCTAGACTCGGTCAATTAGACCTAGAAAGCCGAAATAAAACTGGTACATCTAGGAGATTAGTTTTTAGGATTCCTTTCACGAATTTCGTTAAGAAACTTAGCACAATCGCTTTTGGTCCCTCCACCCTAGACTCGGTCTATTAGACCTCGGCGAAATAAAATTAGCATACCTAGGAGATTAATTTTTACAGTTCCTTAATATCAATTAGGATAAGAAACCCTAGTAGTTTCAGCACCCTAGTCACTTTTGTTCCCTCCACCCTAGACTCGGTCTATTGGACCTTAACAGCTACATTAAAGAACTCACAACATATTACCTCGTATAATGCGAAATATTTAGTGAACCTAATTGAAATTGATTCTTTTATTTTCCTAAATTATTCGAAAAATATTATATTAATTTATTTTTTTTTTTGTCAAACATGTTTTCGTTAACGCAATAAAAAGAAATAAACGCTCGTTTTGCAAGCGAGTATTGTAACATATATATTGAACGATAAGACGGTTGAAAAGACTTGTAAATTGCTGCGGGCGCTATATACATATAGATAACGTCAAGTGACCTTGGTTTCATTAAAATAGCACTAGATCGGCTTTAAAGTCAGATTGGAGTCTTTGAGCTTTTGCCTTAATGCCTCGCTATTGATAACAGGTTAATTGCACGAGAGGGCCACACACATAATTTTCTCGATTCACCTTTCAATATAATCAACCTTCACCTCGTGCATTTCAGTTAACTTAAAATCACTCAAAAAAAAAAAAAAAAAAAAAAAAAAAGAGACTTGTGTGCATAAAGTCGCATAATCGTCACTTTATATAAACTTAACTGCAAATTCCGTGAAACTTAAGAGTCAAAAAATGACTCACTACAACATTGCCAGGCCGTATTTAGGATACAAAAAAAAAAAAAAAAAAGATCGAGGCAAACTGGTCTTCGTGATGCAAGTGCCTCTTTACTCTCCGGCAGCTATAAGTGTGTTCCAAAAAAAGGGTTTCAAAGGCGGGTGGAGAGACTGAATTTTTAACACACTGTAACACTAAAATCCCTTTTTTTAGAATAGGAAATGGGACACTGATTTCTAGAACGTGAAAAAATATGAATTTTACAATAGACCGAGTCTAGGGTTAAGGGACCAAAACTGTTGTGTACTATAATTTTTTTTGTTGAATTCGAAAAAGGAATGCTCAAAATTAAAATCCTGCGTCTACCAATTTTATTTCATCTGTTTAGGTCTAATAAACCGAGTCTAGGATTAAGGGACCAAAACTGTTGTGTACTGGAATTATTTTTTTATGTTACATTCATAAAAAGAATCCTCATAATTAATATCCTGCGTGTATCAAATTTTATTTTATCTGATTAGGTCTAATAGACCGAGTCTGGGGTTAAGGGACCAAAAATGTATATTAGAATTAAATTTTTTTTTTACGTTAAATTCGTAAAAAGAAACCTCATAATTAATGTCCTGCGTGTATCAAGTTTTATTTCAACTGTATAGGTCTAATAGACCGAGTCTAGGGTTAAGGGGCCAAAAGTGATTGGTTCTAGTAATTTGATGTTGTTAAAACTTATCTCACAGAGATTTTTCGTGTCACATATTACAGAATAAATAATAATTTATTTAAAAAAAAAAACTTTTTTTCTCGTCTGAAATTTGTGCGGAATACTTATTAATGTGTTGTACATAAAAGAAGTTAATAATTAAACCGATATTTTCTATTTAATCATTAATGATATTATGCTGTTATTTTTATTTACTTTTTGTTCTATTATTATATATATGTTCATCCGTAATATGATTCTAATTAAGAACCGCGGCCATATTGTATATCTTCAACGAACTGCGATGCCCTTCGCTCACCGCCTTTAACTATATATATATATATACACGCGCAAGTTACTTTTGCGTGGGTTCATGTTACTTGACGCTTAAATTATATTTTTTAATATTCCACGCTTCATTTTACAGAACTCGTGTGATAATAAAAAATAATCATAATAACAAAAATAATAATAATAAAAACAAAAATAATAATAATAATAACAAAAAATAACAAAACTAATATGAAAAATAAACTTGAATCGCCCACTACCAGCCCAACATACGCAGGACAAAAAAATAAATCATTTTGAGAAAAAGTGGGGGTAGACATCCTAAAAAAAAATTTTTTTTGGTATGTTTGATATTGGATTGAATTCCAATGTATTTTTGCCCGCTGAACACAATTTCGAGTCCCAAAATTATCTAGCACTTAAATATTTTGAGAAAAGTGGAAATAAAAACCAAAAAACACGTGTTTTTGGTATTTACCCCCACTTTTCTCAAAATTTTGACGCGCTAGAAAATTTTGTGACCCGGAATCGTGTTCAGCGGTCAAAAATACATTGAAAATGACTCCGATGACGAAAATAAAAAAAGTCAAAATAAGTGCCCGAGAAAATAATAATTTTCCCGGGCACTTATTTCGGCTAGAGCCGATTATGATGAGTTTTTTTTTTTAATTTTTTTTTTTTAATACGTACAAGTATTTCCACGAGCCCAGTGCTGTGCCTGTGCTCCTTGAATAATGGCCGTAACGGACATCATCGGTTTCTCCTTCTTCATCATCTTCGGTGTTTGTTTTTTTTTTTTTTAATGCCCGAGAAATAACACTTTTTTTTTTTTATAAATCACAGACAGTAACACACACTTTTATACGATCGATTTCATTTTTCTTAATCACTCAACAATAACATTTTATGTTAATAATTTTTGTTAACAAAAATTTTTGCACACGTTTTAATATGGAATGTACAATTTTATTTTTCCTTTTTTTTTCTTCTTCTTTTCTCCGCTTTTGGCGTTATTTGGTATGAGGTTCACTTATATGGCATTTTTTGAAATCCTTTGGTCAATATTACATTTCTCGCCTTTTACAACTTTGTTGTGTATATAATGAATATTTTTTTTTTTTTTGAACAAATTTTTTTAATTGTCACATTCTGCAAAATTTTTATAAAATATTGATGTGAACAGCGAAATACAAGAAAATTTTAAAAAAGAATAATAGAATTTTAAAAAATATTTAGGAACGTCAATTTTTAACACAATTTTTTTGTGGTTCTTTTTGTCTAGGTCTAATAGACCGAGTCTAGAGTTAAGGTACCAAAACTGTTGTGTATTAAAATTTATTTATTTTTGTTAAATTCGTAAAAAGAACTCTCAAAATTGATATTCTGGCTGTATCAATTTTATTTCAGCTGTTTAGGTCTAATAGACCGAGTCTAGGGTTAAGGGACTAAAACTATAATTTTTTATTATAATTTATTTATTCTGTTTATTATTTTTTATTAAAAAAAATTTAATTCTATCAAAATTAATTTGATAATTTCAAAAAATGAGAAAAAAATTTAATAATAATATTCCAAGTATATGTTAGTGGAAAAATAAGGACCCTATGAGAGAAGACTATATTTACGTAATTCTCGGTATATTATACAAGAAGCAAAAGAGCAATTTATGTAGGTGTGCGTGGGACACACCTGTTTATAATGCAATAGAGAATCATGTGTTAGAAATGAATAAAAAAAAAGTTTTATAACGACCGTTGTCACTGTTTTTTTTTCAATTTCTACACTACCAAAATATATCAATAGTAAAAATTCTATTGCACCCAAAGAAATTTATTTTTTTAAACCAAATATAATTTCAATAAAAAAAATTTTTTTTAAATATTTTTTTTATTAATTTATATTTATATTTTTTTCTTTAAATTTTTCATAAAATTTTATTAATTAAATTACTATTCAATAATTAATTGAATTAAATAAAAATTTCACTCTAATTAAAAAATTCGGTCAAATAAAATGTCCAGTTAATGGAAAATTCGGTCAAATGTAATTTCGGGCAAATAAAAAGTCCGAAAATAAAAAAATCGGTCAATATTGAGAATTCGGTTTAATTCCAATATTTATAATTATATTTAAAAATAATACAACTACTTTTTTGTGGGGGGGAAAAATAAATTTTTTTTTGTTTTTTGAAATCTAAAGATTCTAAAATTTTAAATTTGTCCAAAATTTTATGAGTTGCAAATGTAAAAATATGAAAGAAAAATAGAAAAACACTAAAAACTAAATTATTTCAAAAAATATATGTATATATATGTGAAGGAAATTAAAATTTTAAAAGCTGCGACAGACAATTGCTAGTAAACTCGAGTCTGAATCTCAAGGGTATTGTCAAGGCCAGGGCTGACCCATTGCAGAGCAGAAAACGGATCGATGCACGTACTGGGTGTCGTGATAACTAAAAACCTTTCACTTGCAAAAAAAACACTTCTAAATTATATTTAAAAAAAATTTTTTTTTTAATTTTAATTTTTTTTACAAACAAAAAATTTATTATCGATTTTATTGCATGGGACTAGGTTTTTTTTTACTAATCAGAACTAAATAAAATTTTTATATTAATAAAATAAAAATCTACCAATATTTTCGTACATAAAAAAAAAAAAATTTTTTCCAATTAAACTTTTGAAAACAGAAAAAAAGAAAACTTTTATTACCAAATAAATTATATATATATGGAATCATAAGAAATTATATTTAAGGAACAAAAAAAAAATTTTTTTTATAATAACAAAATTAATTTTTTTTTTGAACTTTTTTTTTATCTAAAACACTAATGAAGACTATTATTAGGTTCTATATACCATGTAAAATGACCTCAATTTTTATTCTATGTCAATTTAATAACGTTTTGCTTTTTGCAGTCTCATGCTAAGCAAAAAATTTTGAGTAATTTTTATAACATACATTTTTATAATTAGACTTTTAAATTTTGCGAATCAATTTATATTTTTTATTTTATTTTTTATTGAAAATTTTGTTTAAAAAATTTTTTTTTTAATATAAAAATACAGTGAAAAAATTTTGGAGCAGCAGTTTTACCTTAAAACGAAAAATTTCTATATTCTGTTAACTTCACTCCATATAAAAACTGAGACAATTTTTAAAGAGGTTATGTTCTAACATACATTCAATTTTAATGGAGGTTATGTTTTATTATTTATTCAAATCTTCTAAAATTAAGAGGAGACAATATTTTAAATGTTAACTGTAATCAAAAATTAATAATTAATAAATAAATTAATAATAATAAAAAATTATAATAATCAAAAATCCTCTAAAATAAATGTAAACTCTTAATCGAAGAGGAAAACGCTTTTCCTCTTAAAATAAGAATAATCTTCTATATTTAGAAAAGGGAAATTCTTGATTTAAAACTATAATATAACAGATTATAAAAAAAAGGAAAAATTTATTCCTCTTAATATGAGATTAATTTCTGTTTTTTGATGTACAAAATCGAAGAAAAAAAAGGGGTAAAAAAAAAATAAGTCAATTATTTGTATATTATTGTCGCCGTTTTCTAAGGTCATTGTCGAGGTTAATCCGGTCTTTAACATCAGTTGACAGTTCTGCGTGTTAACAGCTAATGAAATTCTATTGTCCACGCACTCATATGCAAATCACAAATATATTATTTCGATCGTGTGACTAAATTACATCTAAATTTCACCCATTCTGAGAATGGGGGATTCCCTCATCTCATATACTATCAGTAAATTTCACTTTTTTTTTTTTTTTTACAAAATCTTACAAAACAATGACAATATTTATTTGAAAAGAAAGTTGTATAACATAAAAATTGGTATTTAAATTATTTTTTGTTGGAATTTGCAAAAAAAAAATTTTTAAATACAGAAATTACTGATTAGTTTTTTTTTTTTAATTTTCTAAATTTTTTTATTCTACAAAATATTTTAATTTTTTTTTGTTGTTTTAAAAATGTAATTTTTCCATATTAAGAGAATTTTTATTAGTTTTTTTTGTCATTTATTTCCATCCGATTATGTACACAATGTGACGCAATAATTATTATTGTGTGTGTGAACTGAATTTTGGTCATAAATTTTTTTTCGGACAAGTGAAAATTCGGTCAAATTCTATTTGGGCGAAATTTCGAAAATTCAGTGAATTATTCATTCGGTCAATATAGCTACTTCGGACAAGTGGAAATTAATTCAAATCCTAATTCGATTAAATAAAATTTCGGTCAGAAATTGTTTCGGTTAAATAAAAGTGTAGTCAGAAATTGTTTCGGTTAAATAAAAGTGTAGTCAGAATCTACTTCTGTCAAATTAAAATTCGGTCAAACTCAATTTCGGTAAAATATTTAATCGCCTAATTTCTACTTTCTTTTAATTGGAAGTTCGGTCACTATAAATTCGGTCAGTAGGTAATTTAAAAAAAAATTTCAAATATAAACTTCAAATTGTATTTCCGTTAAATTGAAAATTAGGTAAAATATAAATTTTGATATAATCTACTTCGGATTCATGGAAATTCAGTAAATTATAATTTGAGTTAATTAATTATTTGTTAATCTCTATTTTGATTAAATGGAAATTCGGTCAAATCCTATTTTAGTTTTCAAGGAAATTTGCTAAAATACTAATTCGTTCACGCCTTATGTTGGTTAAATGCAAGTTCAGTCAGAAGCTACTTCGATCAAATGAAAATCGGTCCAAACCTGATTTCGGTAAATTAAAAAATTCGATTAATACCTACTTTGAACAAGCGGAAAATTCGGTCAAACTTTAATTTGGTTTTTAAGAAAATTTGGTACAATATTAATTCGGTCAAACGTTATGTTGGTTAAATGCAAGTTCGGTCAGAAACTATTTCGGTCAAAAGCTGATTTCGGTGAAATAGAAATTTGGATAATATCTCTTTCGAAAAAATGGAAAATTCGGTCAAACTGAATATTTATTTTGGTTAAATGGAAATTCAATTTGACGCTATTTCGGTTAAATAAAAATACGTTCAAATTCCATTTTCGGAAACTAGAAATATGGTTAAATACTACTTCGGACAAGAGAAAATTCGGTCAAACCCTACTTCGGTTTTCAAGGAAATTTGGTCAAACATTATTTCGGTTAAATGAAAGTTGTGTTTGTAACTATTTCGGTCAAATGAAAATCCGGCCAAACTATATTTTGGTAATACAGAAATTTGGTTAATAACTACTTCGGACAAGTAGAAATTCGGTCAAACTCTATTTTGGTTTTCAAATAATTTTGGTAAAATACTAATTCGGTCAAACGTTATTTTGGTAAAATACATGATCTGACTGAAGCTATTTCGGTCAAAACTTGATTTTGGTTAATACAAAATTTTGTTAATACCTACTTTGGTAAGTGGAAATTCGGGCAAATCCTACCTTAGTTTTCAAGGAAATTTAGTAAAATACTAATTCGGTCACGCGTTATGTTGGTTAAATGTAAGTTCGGTCAGAAACTATTTCGGTCAAAACCTGATTTCCGTGAAATAGAAATTTGGTTAATATCTCTTTCGAAAAAATGGAAAATTCGGTCAAACCGAATATTTATTTTGGTTAAATGGAAATTGAATTTGACGCTATTTCGGTCAAATAAAATTACGTTCAAATTCCATTTACGGAAACTAGAAATATGGTTAAATACTACTTCGGACAAGAGAAAATTCGGTCAAACCCTACTTCGGTTTTCAAGGAAATTTGGTCAAACATTATTTCGGTGGAAATGAAAGTTGTGTTTGTAACTATGTCGGTCAAATGAAAATCCGGCCAAACTATATTTTGGTAATACAGAAATTTGGTTAATAACTACTTCGGACAAGTAGAAATTCGGTCAAACTCTATTTTGGTTTTCAAATAATTTTGGTAAAGTACTAATTCGGTCACGCGTTATGTTGGTTAAATGTAAGTTCGGTCAGAAACTATTTCGGTGAAAACCTGATTTCGGTGAAATAGAAATTTGGTTAATATCTCTTTCGAAAAAATGGAAAATTCGGTCAAACTGAATATTTATTTTGGTTAAATGGAAATTGAATTTGACGCTATTTCGGTTAAATAAAAATACTTTCAAATTCTATTTTCGGAAACTAGAAATATGGTTAAATACTACTTCGGACAAGAGAAAATTCGGCCAAACCCTACTTCGGTTTTCAATGAAATTTGGTCAAACATTTTTTCGGTTAAATGAAAGTTAATAACTACTTCGGACAAGTAGAAATTCGGTCAAACTCTATTTCGGTTTTCAAATAAATTTGGTAAAATACTAATTCGGTCAAACTTTATGTTTGTTAAATGCAAGTTCGGTCAGAAGATATTTCGGACAAATGGAAATTAGCTCACCTAAATTCTTGTTAAACAAATTTTATAGAGTAGAATTTTTTTTAATTTATTTATTTATTTATTTATTTAGAGAGAGAGAGAGAGAGAGAGAGAAGAAGGGTAAATGACAGTTTATTGCTATTATGACTGCAGCGAATAATAACCGTAAGTGTGCTGTTATTTTTATCAATTGGTGAATGCAGACTGCAGAAGGACGCATGTAACTATTTAGCTCGTTTGTTAATCGTTCGGGTTCGATGAGGTTTCAAGGTCAGACGCGCGCAGTTATCGAAGGCCGAAGAAAGATCGCGAGTAAACTCGTGTTTCGCGTTTATATTGTGTGTATGTGATTATTATTTTTTTTTTCCTACATTAACTTCATTAAAGTGCAAATGAACTTTTTCTGCCTTGAAAAATTTTCCATTTATCTTGTTTCTCGATTGTTTCGATTAGTAAAAAGCAAAAAAAAACAGAAAAAAATTGAAAGTATTTTCTTTAAGAAACTGATGATCACACGCGGATATTGCTTTCGCGAGTAATAGTCATTAACGGGGCCTTGACAAGACACAGGAAGACATATCTTTCACATTAGAATTGTATTCACAATTTTCTGCTCACTAATTTCACGTTTAATAATTTTACTTATGTAATTTACATTTTTTTTCAGATTTCTAATAAAATGATTCACTGCCGGCAACAAAATGAAAAGTTGACAATCTTTTTGTAACTAATTTTTTTTCTCTATTAAATTACATTTTTTTTTTTTGTAAATAAAAATTTCAAGAAAATTACAAAATTAGATAATTCAGTGGAGAGAGAAAAAATTTTTCAAGTATTTCGCTGATAGAAAAAAAAATTGGAATAATAAAAAAAAGGGATGCACTGAAATTGCACTCTTGGTAGACCAGAATCCAAGAATGCACGCGCGACGTACTTTTCACTCACTCACTCACCGACTGACTGACTAACTCACTAAACTGAATGAATGAATAACTGACTGACTGCGATGCGCAGTTCTGCAGGCAACTGAGCAACTGAAAGTCGCGCCGGCCGGCCTGGCTGCCTGCTTGCCTGGTGTTGCACGCTCGCGTATATGAGACTCAAGGAAGATAGGATTCGAAGCACCAGAGTGTATAGAGAAGGGAGATATGAACGCGCGCCAACGAGGAGGGGAAATTCTCTATATACTTTAAAGCTCACATACACACACACACACATTGTCTTCTATCTCAAATGATTATATACTCTAAAACCCCCTCAAAAAAAAAATACAACTGACATTGCATCCGAATTATTCTATATTAACAGGAAAAAGCAGGTGCAAAAAACTTCCAGAATTCTATTTGAAAACATTTGAATCTCACAAAATTGCATATTTGATCGAATTACCATTTGACCGAATTCTAGTCGAAATAATTTTCAAGTGGTCAAAATTTTTCATTTGACCGAATTTCCATTTGTTCGAATCAAAATTTGCCCAAATTTTAAACTGACCGAATTTCCATTTTCCCGAATCATGATTTGACTGAATTCTATTCGAAAGAATAACTAAATTTCACTTATGACCGAATTCAAGCCGAAAAGTTTTCCAAATTTCCATTTGCCCAAATAATAATTTGACCGAATTTTAAACTGACCTAATTTCCATTTGCCCGAATCATGATATGACCGAATTATAAACTGAGCAAATTTTCAAAGGCCCGAATCATAATTTGACCGAATTATAAACTGACCAAATTTCGAAAGGCCCGAATCATGATATGACCGAATTATAAACTGACCAAATTTCCATTTGCCCTAATCATGATATGACCGAATTATAAACTGAGCAAATTTTCAAAGGCCCGAATCATAATTTGACCGAATTATAAACTGACCAAATTTCCAAAGGCCCGAATCATAATTTGACTGAATTTTAAACTGCCCAAATTTCCATTTTCACGAATTACGATTTGACCGAATTCTATTTAAAAGAATTTCAAAATGCCCAAATTTCACGTTTAATCAAATTTCCATTTGCCTAAATCATTTGTTGACCGAATTCAATTTGAATAAATCTTAAACTGCCCAATTTTTCACGTTGGGCAAAATTTCCATTTGATCGAATCATGATTTGACCGAATTCTACTGAAAAGAATGTGGAACAGTGAAATTTCAAAATAGACCGAATTCTTGTCGATAAAAATTTTAAGTTATTAAAATTTCCATTTGACCGTATTCCCATTCGTCCGAATCATCATGTGCCAGAATTTTAAATTGACCAAATTCTCCTTTCCCCGAATCATGATTTGACCGAATTTTAAATTGACGAAATTTTAATTTGCCCGAATCATTATTTGACCGAATTCTACTCAAAAGAATTTTAATCTCACGAAATTACACATTTGACCAAATTTCCATTTGCCCGAATCATGATATGACCGAATTATAAACTGACCAAATTTCCAAAGGCCCGAATCATAATTTGACTGAATTTTAAACTGCCCAAATTTCCATTTTCCCGAATTACGATTTAACCGAATTCTACTCGAAAGAATTTACAATGTACATAGTAATCAAAAACGGTGACAAATTCTACTAGAGATTTAAGTGAAAAGGACAATCACATCAGGATCGAAGACACAAACGGGTGATTAATTTCAGGCAAAGGATTTCAGGAACATCACCCTGGAATCGAAAAAGTAAAACAGAAGATTAGACATTAAGTCTTTTTGGAAAAACTCCGAAAGGAAGCTAATCTAGAGGACAGTCACCCTAAGATTGTTTAGGAGTTTTGGAATTAAGCTTTACAGGATTAATTAAGTTAAACCCACCGAGGCAGGAGATCTTCTCATAAGAATCGGAGACTCCTCAGACAAGGGGACATTCACCAGGAAATGAACTTTTTCAGCTTCACAAAGATTTTACAATCGTTAAAAAGCCGCAGACAAACCTAAGGGTTACACTGGAGATCTGCGACATGGATTGCCTTATCCAGGAAAAAGAAGCGCAGAAGGCATTAGATGCAGCCTTAGTGCCATCAGCTGAAAGTTAGATGATGATCCTTGTACCTAACAACCGAAGGATGAAAGTCGGTATTGTCACTGGCGCCATTCAAACACAGTAACAGATTGGGACACAATTCGAACAAAAAGGTATCATACCTGAAAAACCGAACGCAATTCGAACTCACCGGTACCCGAGTTAGCTTGATCAGAAACACCTCTGGGCAATTAATCTAAAGCGGTGGACAAATCGACTGAGTGTTTTAGGTCGAGAAGCCAATCACAAGTTCGCAGATTGTAAGAAGAGCCAAAGCTGTTCAGTTCTAATTCCAAGTGAATTCTATTTTCAAGTAAAGTAAGTCATTTTGTAATCTATATCAATTTAATTTTTTCTTTCTCTAATTTTCTCGACACTCTACCAATTCCGAAGGACGTCATACAAATTATTTACTAAATGTAGTAAATATAGTAACAGGTGAACATAACGAACAATTTGTAAATAATTCAGTATACGATTGACGAAATATGAATATCCTTGTTACTATTATGAAATTCGTTTCCTTACAGGGTAAAATCTCCATTAAAGGGTGGAGAGGCGGGAGGACATTCGAAGGAAGGTTGAGCATACTATATATATTTTGTTCGTGCACTAGAACTTGACATACTTTAGCTTTAAGTTTGCAGAGCGCAAGCTCAACTCCCTCTTCCATTTTCCCCTGACCTAAGATTTACTCTCCTTTTTCCCCAATAATTTCCCTCATCGCTAGAATCATCCTTCTTCTAACCAAAATTAACAATTTTATTTATATTTCCATGCAAAAAAAAATCGACAATCAAAATTAATTACCAAAATTTAAAATTGTAGAAAATTTAACTCAGAACAATTAAAGAAAGAAAAAAAAGTTAGGAAAATATCATAATAAAAATCACACAAGGAAAGTAATCCTCGAATAAGGAGAAACGTGATTTTTTCGATGTTGTAAAATTTTAGAGTTGATAATCTGGAGAAACTATTATAGCCCATCATCAATAAGTAAAAGTACCTGTTTGGGAAGATGTACAATGGCTTGCGCGACGCCAGACAACATAATCGGTTTAGAGAGCCATTAACTTTTCATTGTCCCTGAAATGGGGTTATTGACTGATTTCATGTGTAGATTCTTCTTCCAAAGAAGGTTTTGGATGTTTTGAACATTGTGTTCTTTTAGATATTCAGTACTTCGATTCGATATTTATGTCATTACGATTGAAAAAAAATTGTTTAAACCAGGATTCTACTATTTTTGATATTTTTAAATATAACATTAAAACAGGAATAAAAAATTGTTTAAACCAGGATTCTACTATTTTCAATCTTTTGAAATATAACATTACAATGGGAATAAAAAATTGTTTAAACCAGGATTCTACTATTTTTAATATTTTTAAATATAACATTAAAACAGGAATAAAAAATTGTTTAAACCAGGATTCTACTATTTTTAATATTTTTAAATATAACATTAAAACATAAATAAAAAAAAATTATTTAAACCAGGATTCTACTATTTTCAATTTTTTAAAATATAACATTAAAACAGGAATAAAAAATTGTTTAAACCAGGATTCTACTATTTTTAATATTTTTAAATATAACATTAAAGCAAAAATAAAAAAAATTATTTAAATCAGGATTCTACTATTTTCTAAATTTTTTTATTATTAAAGTGTAATTAAAAAACTGTTTAAACCAGGATTCTACTATTTTCAATTTTTTTAAATATAACATTAAAACAGGAATAAAAAATTGTTTAAACCAGGATTCTACTATTTTTAATATTTTTAAATATAACATTAAAACATAAATAAAAAAAAATTATTTAAACCAGGATTCTACTATTTTCAATTTTTTAAAATATAACATTAAAACAGGAGTAAAAAATTGTTTAAACCAGGATTCTACTATTTTTAATATTTTTAAATATAACATTAAAGCAAAAATAAAAAAAATTATTTAAATCAGGATTCTACTATTTTCTAAATTTTTTTATTATTAAAGTGTAATTAAAAAACTGTTTAAACCAGGATTCTACTATTTTCAATTTTTTTAAATATAACATTAAAACAGGAATAAAAAATTGTTTAAACCAGGATTCTACTATTTTTAATATTTTTAAATATAACATTAAAACATAAATAAAAAAAAATTATTTAAACCAGGATTCTACTATTTTCAATTTTTTAAAATATAACATTAAAACAGGAGTAAAAAATTGTTTAAACCAGGATTCTACTATTTTTAATATTTTTAAATATAACATTAAAGCAAAAATAAAAAAAATTATTTAAATCAGGATTCTACTATTTTCTAAATTTTTTTATTATTAAAGTGTAATTAAAAAACTGTTTAAACCAGGATTCTACTATTTTCAATTTTTTTAAATATAACATTAAAACAGGAATAAAAAATTGTTTAAACCAGGATTCTACTATTTTTAATATTTTTAAATAAAACATTAAAACAGAAATAAAAAAAAATTGTTTAAACCAGAATTCTATTATTTTCTAAATTTTTTATTATTAAAGTGTAATTAAAAAAATGTTGAAACCAGGATTCTACTATTTTCAATTATTTTAAATATAACATTAAAACGGAAATAAAAAAATGGTTTAAACCGGGATTCTACTATTTTTAATATTTATATATATCATTAAAACCGGAATAAAAAGTAGTTCAATCCAGGATTTTACTAATTTCCATACTTATATTATTGTAGTGTAATAAAAAAAATGTTCAAACAAGGATTCAACTATTTCTTCCAAGAAGCAAAAAGAAGCGTAAAAAAATATTTCCTATTCTTGAACATTTTTTGAATCTTTGTAGCCTAATAAAAGAAATATTAACAAATTGTTTTTTAAAAAATCTGTTAATCTGTAAACAATTTAAGGAAGAATTTTTGGGCCACATGCCAAAATAAGTTCGTAGAACTGATAAATTCTACATTTCCATGTGGGGCGCCCACACGACTGGCATATAGAGATCGAGCGAATACACACACACATATGAATTATATTCACGAATAAGAATGTTTCACATGTATTATAATAACATACAGAC